ATTTAGCCACATGTTAAAAGAGTTACGTTCAAATAATTTAATAATTTAAATGAATGGATATCAATCGAAATGAGTTTGGAAAAGTTTAGATAAATTATTAAAATATGGCGATCAATCGAATGTGTTTCAAAGGGCTTTATACCATGTTTAAGAGAAAGAGAGTTGCCACTTATTTGGGAAATAGAAGATTTATGAAAGCGTTAATAAATAATAAAAAAAAACATATTATTAGAGTTGGCACCTTTTCGAAAAGTCATATCCGCATATCTAAATACATAAATACATATAATACACAGCGGCAGTTTTTGTGAAGGTCATCAAATCTGCACAGTAGATGTGCAATAATAACGAACACCATGCGAAATCTTTCTTCGAATTTACTAGTTAATCATAATTTTATTATTGTATATCTCGGAAGTGTTGATTTGTGTAATTATTGCAGCCGAACTATAAAAAAATATTTACAGGTTTTGCGAATACACAGGCCATAAAAAACAAAGAAGTTAAACTTACTAATTTCCAAAAACGTAAAGAAATATTCTTTTTTTTTTGTCCAAGTGAGATAAAATCGCTCAAGCATTGAATGCTACTCAAACACTCAGAAATTTGACTTAAACTTTAATTTCCTTTTAATGATGCTCATTAGCGATGCGTCGTGCTTGAATTCAAAAGTAACTATGTGTGTTTCTGTGTTGAGCGTTGAGCTTAAATAAGCTTCGTACCTCAATGGCATTAAATTCACAGCTTCTTTACGTACACATCTGCAACTAAGGAGTTCTTGCGCTAAAATATTAACCTTGTGTGCACCTTGTTTCAATATTTACTTAAATACATATACAAAATATTTCCAGCGAACTAACTATCTACATACTTACAACATGTAAATCTATGCTTGTTTGCATGCTGAAACAAATCCTTACTCAACGGCGCTATTCATGCGTGAGTGCCGCCCTAACTTTCATAATTCCCTGCGAAATTTTAATAATGATTTCAGAAAATTAACAAACCTTAACAAAGTAAGTTAAGTATAAAAGCCATGCACATACAAAATTATTTGTTGAAAGCTTACATATGTACGTACAATAATTACTCTCAATAGATGCTAAGCTTCAATAAATTCACCTTCTAATATTTAGGCTCAGGAAATTTTATGACATGAAACTTATGCCTCCTCTGTTAAATAAGCATACTGAGACAAGTTCAGATACACTATATATGGTAAATATGTATTTACATTTTTGCCGAGACCATTTTCATATTTAAGCCAGACAATTGTCATCATCTTTCATTGCTACTCATTCTACTTCATAAATATCTTTATGATTCTGTGTTATTACGTACGCACATACATATATATATACTTATATGTATATATTAACCTTTATTCTAAAATATCTTATGTCTTCTGTTTGCAATAAGTTTATTTTATTCACGCTTCGTTTGCTTTTAATGCGCTTTCCAAACTTAGGGCAAGCTTATATGGACACGCTTTTTAGTTGCTTCTCTAAGTACCTCATTCGGAACATCTGCTAAATATTCTCTTAGCTGAGGCAATTTCTTTTTCGTACTGTGTGACTCTTGGGTTGCCAAAGAGCTTTTGTCGAGTTATTCCATATCGCAATATGGCCGCAAAAATGGTAACCATATTGGATGGGCGCCTATTAAAATCTGGCTTTTGCGTTACGCATTCAAGCAGCGGTTAAGGATCTTAAGACGACAACGTCTAACTCAAAAAGTGTTTAGGAATATTAAAGTTTCCTATAATTTCGAAGGCGATAGATAAATCGTCCATTTATACTGGGTCCCGGTTTATATTGATGTTTCACAAAATAAAGAAGCGAACTAGTATACGATGACAAGGACAGGACGTGTGGCATCGATTATAAAATTAAAAAAAAAAAAGTAAGTGCGCCTGGGCCACACTGGAGAAGTAAAACTTACGTTACATATCTAGTTTGTTTCATCTATACATAGTATAAAGGAAAGTCGAGATTTTGACGGGATTTTCTCTAATATATTCTGTATTTCTGTATTGTAAAATTACTATATTCAATCAATTCGAATAAGCGTAGACGTCAGTTCTGCATCGTCACTATGAAGTGAAAAGACTTAGCCTCTGGATGTGTAATAATGTATTATTTTTCTGAGTATGGTTGCCGCCTGTATAAAAACTATAAGATAAAAACTATAGATAGATGTATACATAAATGCTCAGAATGAAAAGAGAAATCGATTAAGCCATGTCTGTCCGTCCGTCCGTCTGTCCGTATGTCCGTCTGTCCATGTACACGATAACTCTAGAACAAATTGAGATCTGCCAGAAAAATTTAGTAAGCAGGTTTCCATTTATCCAAGGTAGGTTGGGATTAAAAATAGGCAAAATCGGACAATTACCACGCTCACCTCCCATATAACGGTATTTTCGAAATATGCGAAAACTACGATTTTTACGAAAATACTGGATCCAAATTGTTGAAGCTTGGTATGCGAAATAGAATTTTGCCACAAAAAAAGTCAGTTATGAAATTTTTGGAAAATTTGCGTGACCCCGCCCACTTATGATAAAATGCTTTATCTCTGTAGTCCGTCTACCAATCCCCACTAAACTCGGTGCGAACATTACTTAGAGCTTGACTAAGGAACTCGTAGAAAATTTTTGAAATAAGACAAGAACCATGCCCAACTCCCGTGTAGGGGTAATTTACAGAAATACGAAAACTGCGATAAATTAGTAACTATTTAAGCCAATTTGCTCAAAATCAACATATGAAATGACCTCTAATCAGAAAATGATAATTGTATATCGATTTCCACCAAACTTGATGAAATTATTTCAATTAATCATGCTTATCATGGCAAAATCGATAACAATATCAATAGGAAAATCGATAACAAAATCGACAAAAAATGTCGATAACAAAATCGTTAAAATATCGATATCGTTAAAAATATCGATTATTATATCGATAACAATAAAGATAAATACTGAGTTCTCGTCTAATGCAACAGGGACAGCTATACGAAGATTTCGGCATTTCGAATACTCTCCTTTCAGACGCAACTCCAGAAAAACTTCATACACCTATAATCCGAAAAGGAGTGATCACGAAGAGTCTTCCAGTCTGATATAAGAGATTCTAGCGTTTAGGACCCTATAGTGAGGTCAAGAAGCTCCTTCCTGGCAGTAGTTGTTAGCATCAAACCATTCTCCCTATTAAAGATAAGTATTAGTAAAGTCAAAAAGTAACTTGCTGTGAAATCACGTTTGGCTCCAAAACGACGCTGCTCTTTCTTTGTTAAGGTTCCTGAGATAATCAAAGTTCTCCAGCCGCTTTCTTCCGCCTGGACGTAAAATAAAATAACTTTAAGCTCAATTGCAATGTGTAACTGCTTATGCCAGTGAAACTCTTATATCACTGTAGGAATACTAAAATAACACAAAAAACGCCACAAAACGTAAACTTAATTTGGTTTGTAGATTACCGATCTATATACCGTTTTACTAGATCAGGTCACTTTCCCAAATTTTTTTCATTTTAGACTTTAACATGAACAATTTTACTCATACGCCATGTCATACATTTGTACGAAATACATATCGAGCCCTAACCGCCAACATAACGTAAGCGACATTTTTTTCAAAATTTTTTTTTGATGCAGAAATGCATCTAGATGCTCTAGGGAAAAAAGAAAATTTTGAAAAAAATGTCGCTTACGTTATTTTGGCGGTTAGGGCTCGATATATACAAATACGGTCAGGTACGCTATGGCGTATGAGTAACATTCTTTCCTCATCCTCTTTACTACTTAAAGTGTGTTTGCATTGTTCAACTTTGCGTTCAATATTTGCGTTCAACTCAGCGCAGGGTTGCACGAAAAAAAAGTTGTATGGCTAAAAATATCAAAATATGAAAAAATATCAAAATATTCGCCATAAAAAGGTGTTTGCATTGTTCAACTTTGCATTCAACTTTTGGTTGAATGGCCTTTCAACTAATCCCTTTCAACAAAGTCGGTCGCCAGCCAACATTTAGCCATTCAACTTTTTTTTCGTGCAATCCTGCGTTGAGTTGAACGCAATTGTTGAACGCAAAGTTGAATAATGCAAACACTGCTTTACGCTTACACTTTTATAGCCGCAAAAAAAGGCATGGCCGTAATTTTTTTAATTTTGCCTCGAATGGAACTTTTTCAAGTTGTATGCCCTATTTCATGGTTTCTAACATTTATCTGGTTGGGTTTTTCGGCAAAATTTCTTTAGCATAGATGTTCGGAATTTCTTAAGCCTTAACTTTTGCGAACATACCGGCACCAAGGAGAAGGTCTTGGACACTTTTAGATGGAAAATCCGCAATTAAGTACACAGACACTCAAAAAAATAAGGAAAGTTGTGAACCTAGAGGAGGACTCCGGTATTCTTAGATTTTTGGGGTGCCTAAAAAAGAATCTAATGATGCAGTTCATTTCCCCATACCCGAAATAGGGTTAAACCGTCCCTTCTTGTCATGTCATGTCATACACAACTTGTTTATGTTTTTACCGATTTTCATCGTTAGTAGCTTGATTTGTTTGCAAAAGAACAGGCTTTAATACAAACTGTTTGTTATTTTCTAATTTTTTCCTTGTTGAAATTAAGTTGTTTTTTTTTCATAAAAATGAAAATATCTTACGAAAATTACCTGATCTGGAAAAACGGTACACAGATCCGTAATCTACGACCCAATATTAATTTTACGTGTTTCGGAATTTTTTTGTGTCATTTCAAAACTTTAGATTTTCCCTACAATGTAATTATTTGTTTAGACTTAATTTCCACTGTAGTGCATAGACTGTGGCTATTCACCGATGTTTCTACGGATTCCATAACTGAGCTTATAACTCGAAAGTAAACACATTCACCACTACCCACACTAAATACCCAATCGAAATCCTTACAATTGTTGCTTAGATCGAATTCCCTCAACGTGCATACATTTATTAATGAATTTCCACCTTTACAGCTTCAACAACAACTTCAGCACAATGCGGTCTCACACGGTGGCAGTGGCATGGCGACGATACTACCACTGCCTGCTGCTCCTACTACTACACACACAAGCGTTCCTCGTGCCCACCAACGCGCTACCGGCATCCACCAATACGCTTGCGGCACAAAGTGGTGGCGTCGGTGGCGGCGGCGGTGGCTTGAGCTCCAATAGTAATAGCAACAACAACAACAACAACAATAACAGTGGTAGCAATGTAGCAGGTGGCAATAGTAATGTAAATAGTAATAGTAACAACAATAACATTGCCATTGGGATACCCAATGCAGGCATAAATAGCGGCAATAACGCTGCAAACAATGTCAACGTCAGTGGGAGCGGCAGCAGCAGTTCGGCCAACAGCGGCAGCAGCAGCAGCAGCAGCAGCAGCAGCAGTGGTAGTGATATTGATTTGCTCAATATAGGTGGCACAAATGCGGGAGGCATTGGCGGTGTGGCCGGCAGCAACGCTAACAGCAGCAACATTATGGTATTGCCAAGAGAGAAGTTGTACGAGAAGTGCACGGGGCCCGGCGATCCAGGGCCTTGCAAGCAATATATTTATAAATGGCGCTATGAGCCGCTCTCCAACGAATGCACCACCTTCATTTGGGGTGGCTGTGAAGGCAATCCGCAGAATCGTTTCAACACAGAGGCCGAGTGTCTGTATCATTGCATTGGCGGACCGCGTAAGTGGCAAATGTTGAGAACGTTGTTAGCAAATTTTCAGCGTTTTTTTTTTTAATTTCTTGTCTTTTCTTATCTTCTTTTTAGATACGCTGCCCCCTTTTTTGCGCTCGACTACCAGTGAGCCCAGCACGACTGAATCAGCGATACAATTGCCCGCAAACACTGCAGGGCCGTTTTATGGCGCTGATGGCTCTGATTCCAACCCTGTGCCATTCGAGCAACGAGGCCCTGAGCTGACATTTGCTGAAACGGGTCAAGAGAAAACATTCGTCTTTGCCAAGAATAACACATTCATCCAAATGGACGGTGATATTATACAAACATTTCAATTAAGGTAAGTTAAATTAGCATTTGCACGAAAACTGTCAAGTTGACTGCCTGCAAGGCTTACGAATTTCTTGCTAGCTGAGAAATGACTGTACAAGATCTTTGTCAATATAGTGAGATTTGTATTGTATTTTTTGTGTAATTCATTTAAATTTAATTGAGGCATTCGCATGACCTAGTTCGTTTTTAATAATAGAAACTACGAACATTTAGAAAATATTTTTTTCTTTAAACGTCTTAATGGGTATGTACTTATGTAGGAAGGTGGGTGTGGCTACAGCTGATAGATGCGGCATACTTAGCCTAACAGTGGAATGACTTTTGAGACACAATGTCATGAAATTGCATTTCACTCTGCACAGAGGGGAATAGAAACTGTTGCCTATCTCTCATGCAGCATCTACCAAATTTTGGTGCTGAGTATAACCACTCATCTTTAAGCATACAAACTCCGCGGCCATTCACTCTTCACCCTATATATGAAGGCTTTTAATGTAGCCTATCATTTCCATGGGGTTCTCATTTCAATATTCAAATGAATCTCGGGCGACGCCCCACAGTGTGGAAAATTAACTTTCTTTGTGTCAAATTCTAGTATCTAGAGACGGAGAACAGAAGCGAAATATATGTAACGGTATTTCGAAACTTGAGTGATTGAGAGTTCAGGAAAAATATTCCTGTTACGTAAGAAAATTTACATTGGCCTTTAAAAATCTATGTTTTTTTTATTATGAAATGAACTTTTGAAAAGGTTTAAATTTATACAGTCAGCGTCAAAAATATGCATACGTATATTTTCCATACCAAATTTTTCTAATTTTTTATAAAAAAAAAATAGTTCATTCAACTGCAAGGACCACAAGAATATATATTTTTTTTTTTTTTTTCATACAGAACTCGGAAAAATTCAAGAAATACCAATCAATTTTCAACGAATTTCTCAATTTTTCAATTCGATTTCTTAGAAACATTTTGAGTATGCAGTTTTGAGGTTTTCCAATTCGCTAAAAATCACTGTTAATTTTTTATTGTAGAAGGTTTTGCGCATTTTCTTGCATAAAATAATAGTTGTTTTTCCAAATTTTTCTAAGAAATCGAATAGAGAAATTTTAAATTTCGAAGCATTGATCTACGAAGGAATACATACCTGTTTGATTTCTCAAATAAATAACTACGTCATAAAGTATGCATTTTGAAATCGAATATTTATTTCCAGCTGCATTGGTACTATACGCTCCCTACAGCCATGTCCGTCGTATTTCATTTCTTGTAAGCAATTTGCTGCAAATGGGCTCATAAGTGTGCTATTAAATGATTTTTCAGGTATGGGTATGTAACCGAAAACTTAATGAAATTATTTCCTTGTTAATTCGATTGCAAACCTATTCGGCGAAAGCATCAATTATGTGTGCCAATGAATCACTTCTAAGTATTAATAAATGATTTCAATATACATTTCAGTGAAATTAATTTCAGAAATTCCAAACGAAAATACATACATGCACATATGTACATAAGTTGCTTTAATCAGTCATATAAATATACATACATATTTACATAGCAAATATTATAAATTCTGGCTAACTGCAGGCTGCAACTTCAAATGCCAGGTCAGGCAGCTTTCAAGAGCATTCATAATGAATGAATGATTACAGAATGAGTTTCTTGATTGCCTGGCGTACCTATTACATACGAGTATGTACTTTCGGTGGCAGTTGTGCTGCTCGAGTTGCTTTTATTGCATAATAATTTACACTTACACATCACAGCACATTCAAATAAACTAAATATGTATGCCTTTTCTATTTACTTGTACGAGAGGCAACAAGCAGGCGGCAAATCAACTTACATATGTTTACACAACTAATAACAAAACTTGCCTATTGCTGTAGTCACGTTAGTGTATGCATACATTTGTACATAATACGGTATTCGATTATTCGCCTTTTCCCCAAAACACGGTTTCGAGTTATTCGAAAAATTGCAATTTGGAAAAAAAACGCATACACCGGTTTTATTTTACATATTTTTTATACAGTGAAAATGCTTCACTTGGTATGAAGTCTTCACAAAAAAATACAATAAAACTATTAACAGCTTTTTCTTTATCAAGATTAAAACGAATAAAGATCAGTGAAAAATTCACGTTTGGCCTTTTTTTTTAATACTTCATTGCATTTTTCTCACTTTTTTCGGTTTTGAGAGTACTACACTCTTGCCGCCGTAGCCGAGTGCTAAGAGATGCTTACTGCCACTCGGCGGATCCATCGTTCAATATCTGGATCCAACAACATCAACACAAGTTTTTTAAAGCAGCTTTCGCCCCTCGGCAGACAATGGCAACCCTCCGAGTGTACTTCTATCATAAAAAAGCAGAACACGAATGCAAAGAGAAGCTCGGCCAAACACGTAGAAAGTGTTTAAGTGCCAAGCATTCGTTTATTGGAATCAAATATGATATACTGTTCATCCCCAATTAACCTAGGATATTATTTTGAAACTATTTAGGAGCTTCACTTGAACTGCAAAACTTCGAAAAACCTAAAAGTTTTATGTTGCAGACAAAGTTTTCAACTTCAATTTATTCAGCGGTCTAGATTTGGATGAAATGAAAAAAAAAACGATTGATTCTATCAAAAAATCCGGTTTATTCGATATTCGAAAAAAAACAAGATTTCAAAAAAAAACCGCCTATAGAATGTCGATATATGGGTACCAATTGAAAGAAGAAGTCGAAGCAAGGTTAATTATAACTTTTGTTTTCAATTATCCTCTTGCAGCATGCCAAAAATCTCCTTCAAAAATATTATTCTTAAAGATTTTGAATAATCTTAGTTTAATTTAAATTTAGTTCAATTATAATTTATATGCTATGAATATATTTAAGGATATAAACGGATATACATTTCAAAGGATATTTTTAAAATTTTTAATAAATACTTCCACATTTGTTCCTTAATCAACCCGAGAGGAATTGTCAATAATTGAATTGAATTGAATTGAATTGAATTGAATTGAATGTTCATCATACGCCCTGTCAGACCAATTAACAAATGTTCTACAATTGCCAATTTTCAAGACTAGAAAACATATTGCTTTGCTGCCTTGTAATGCGCATTTACAAAGCCACTGTAATTTTTAAATTAATTAATTTTTTCGATGTCCTGCAGCCCTAGTGAACATTTAAAGATGCAGATTTACTATAAATGCGTTAAAATATGGGAATCATATAGAATTTTTCGCATTTCCAAAGTTTTCATCGACGATTTGGTAGCCTTAATTCAAGTTATCAGATAAAACTTTAACTACAAGTCAGCACGGGTTATCGTTATCCTACGGCGATAAAACTTCAAATACATGTTGTTTACGCTAAAAAGCACAAATTTGGAGGGTATGCATATCGAAATTTGCATACAAATTTTTTTCCATATTTTCTTAGGAAAGTCTTATGTCCATATATGTATGTATGTACATTAGAGTGGTCCAATTTTTGTACGGGGGAAAAAATGTCATCCTAGAAAACGGAGCACCCGCTCAGTTTTTTCCTTTTGATATTTGCAATATCTATACCAACTTTAAATTTTCTACTGTAACCAATACAGGGTGCTCAATGGCATTGAAATGCGCTACTGTATCGCTGTGAAGCTGTCAAAAATATTAGTGATTTTTATAAAAAGCTACTGTTGCCATGACAACTGAAGCTTGTGATATTTTTTGGAAAACTTAAATTTTAAATGTTCTAGGTTGCTTAACCCATAGTTTGATTAATACATATACACAATACTTCTTAAGTAAAATCTGAGCATTGTGAACATCCCCTAAACTTATACTTAGAAACGTAAAGTTTAGTACCATCACCTCTTTCGACAAGGTGGAAAATTTTTTTTTGGACCACCCCAATGTACATACGACACATATATATGAGCACATCTCACGAGTTGTTACATTTTTGGACAAAAACGTGTTCCACAAAAACAAATTCCATCCAAATCGCGTAAAATTTGGATAAGATCCAACAAATATTCCAAAAAAAAATTCCAAAAATCTACTAAAATTTTGAAAAATTCAAAATATTTGTTGAAAAATCCTGAAATATTAGAGAAATTTTTCATCTCCCGAAAACTCCAAAGATTTAGGAAAAATTACCGAAAACTCCGAATAATCCTGAACAAATCCCCAAAATATCCGGAAATTTTGGTAAAATCCCGAAATTTCTCGAAAACAATCTAAAAAAATTCAGAAGAACTCGAAGACACCAAAATTCGAGTGAAAAGCCCAACGATAATGACGGCAAATAATCGATAACGAATATTTGTATGACTTCACGAAAATTTTATAAAAATATTTTTTTTTGTTAAGTTTAAAACTTCCTAATTGCTCAGCAAGCTCGCAAAATTCTTCTTTAATTTTATTTTAGGTAAAATAAACTTTAACATTTTTGAAGTTTTTCTTATGCGCTCTTTTGCAGATTGTCATTCTAGTAATGGATTTCCTAAATTTGTACTTTCCATTTTTTTTAAATTTCTTAATTAAAATTACTTTATTTTCATCTGTCCTTTTCTTTCCACAGACTTTGTCGTGAGATCTCATTTCAATTTCGAACACGTCTACCGCATGGTCTGCTCGTCTATCACAACGTAAAAAATCCGGATCGTATTAATTTGGATCCCTACGCATTGTATGTGATTGTGGAGAAGGGTCAACTGAAAGTTGTGCATGTTTTCGGAAAGCATTCAACAAGTGTAACCGTAGGCGAAGGACTCAATCGTGATGAATGGCATAGTGTAATGGTAAGAGAGAGTATGGATTCTCAAATTATTTGAAGGTTATTTATGTGTAATTAGGCATTGTATATACATACATATATATATAGAACTACACATGCATTAAATTTCAAAGTCATATCTCAAAAATATTCCACAATAAAGCTTACATTACTCAACTTAGATTGGTACAGATTACTTTTGGAGCATTTTAAGTTATCAACACTCTAGCCCCGCTTTTACATTTTCTCATCTGCAAGTCCTAAAATTTATTTTCCCCTAAACAATTTCCATATACACTTTGCATGTACAGTTAGTTGTATCTCATCTTCGTCATCAACCACGCTTTCGCCTATCGATAGCGTCTTCACATTCAAATGCTTGCTACTGTCGCTCCACTTGTCAGTCAGTCATACATTTGCATTGATTGTCAAAAGTACACAAAACGCCAACAATCAGTTATGTCAACCACAACAACTACCACAACCACTGCAATAACTATTCACATGCTATGAGTGCAATACGATTTACGAGTTCAGCTCTCATCAAGCTCTTCTCCGAAGACACTTGAGCAACACTATCTATCGACTGTGGTCATTAATAACGCTGCCGTTGAATGCATTTTCATGATGCGAATGCTTGTGCTTTGGCTTTTTTTCCTCTTTGCCTGGTGCGGGGTTAGAACAAATACAAATGAATGCAATTTAGAAATTTATTTGCCATTGAAGCGTACACTATAATTCACACTCGTTGGAACAAAACAAAGGCGTTGCATTGAAAATTCACACATTTCATCTATCTACCCTGCACTCACGACATACAAACTCATACACTCATTTATAATCTATGTATGTATGTATGTGCGCACACACGCATGTGGAATAATGCTCAAAAATCTGCTGCGAAATCATACTTGTCCATAGTTGGTGAGTATAGTCCCCATTTTGCTCACGCTTAACCCTTTCTGTTGTGTTACCTCTTAACCACAAATCAATTTCATTCAGTGTCATTCGATTCGATTTATCTTCAAAATTTCATTTGTATTTGTGTTGCACATGGCTATGGGGTGGGGATAGCCACAAGCATTAATAGGTATGTACATACTTCGATAAAAAGCCTCTTAGATGCAGTAAAATTTTAGTAACAGTTGTAGTAGTAGTAGTTGAGTTCTGTGTTGGTGTGTAGCTTTCAGGTCATTCAGCACACTATGTGACCATGTATGTATGTATGTAATATGTATTTCTTTGTTTTTCTCTTGCCATCGATCAATGCAGGTACGCATCGATGTCCATGGCGCAAGATTGATTGCACGCGTTGACAACAGTCAAGAGGAAGTTTACTTGAAGGGCTTGAACCATGACACCAACTATGGAGTGTCAACGAATCTGCCGTCGGTGGTGCTGGTCGGAGGTGAGTAGATATTGTCTTATGGTGCGATAGTGGCAAATGATATCGGGCCCCAACCGCCAAAAAGCTCTAAAGCATCTAAATTCTCTAAGCGTATTTAAAAATCATTAATATTATCTAAAAGTAATGTTTATAGCATTATTACACCTAATTTGTTTGTTGAAAGACACTAGGCAAGATAGTTAAAAAGATTTTGATTCTTCTGGCACGAGAGTCTTACAAACAAAGCTCCCTTCCCAACTTTCGTGGTGAAGAACTCTTTTGACGGAAAATACCTGAGCATTTTCCAAGTGGAGATGTTTTATCATTTTGCTCGCGCTGCTCAAAAATCCCAATGCCCGAGTGAGCAAAGCACTGACTTTTATAATTTGTTAATTTCTTTTTATTTTTAATTTTATTTTGAGTATTAGATTTTATTTTTATCTTTATTAAATTTTTAGAAATTTTATTTTATGTATTTTTTAAAATTATTATTTTAATTTTTTGTATTTATTTTTTTTATGTCAATTAATTTTTAGAAACTTATATTAAATTTAAATTTTGTTTTAATTAATTTTTCTTTTAATACGTAGAATTAATTTTTTTTAAGGGAAAATCACATTTTTTACATTTTCACGAAGCTGTTTTTTTTTGTATTCTTTAGATGTTATTTATTAGGAACTTACTTCACTTCTTTTTTTTTTAAATACTTTTTACGTTATTATATATTAATTTTTAGATTTTAATTTAATATTATTATTTTTCTTTTTATTTTTTTATTACATGTTTAGAACGTTCTTTTTTGTTTTTTCTTTTATATTTTATTAAGTTTTCTTGAAATTTTTAGATTTTATTTAAGAAAACTGCTTTTTTTAATTTAGTTTAATTTGTAGGAACTTATTTTATTTTCTTTTTTTTTAATATGATTTTCTTTTAATTTTTAGATTTTACAATTTTAATAAGAAATTGTTTTATTTATAACTTTTGTATTTATTTTTCTATAATTTCAATAATTTTTTTTTTATATCAATTTACTTTTTCTTTTAGTTATTATTAAAAAAAAAAAATATTATTTCATGTTTTTTAAGGGAAATCTATTAACTACGTATAGACAGTTTCAACAGCAATGTGATATTTTTAACAAATGAAGCATCACATCAAACAGTTTATATGTATTTGTGCTGGTGAAACAAATACATATGTATGTTCGTATGTACATAAATACAATAGTTATATGTATATATTTTCATTCAACTTTTTTGTTTATATTTGTTTATTAAACTAAATTTTCTATACCTTTTTACTTTTACATGTTAATTAATCTTCATTACGGCGACTAAACAATGAAAAACGCAAACGCAAACGCAACAACAAAAACAATTGCAACATCAACCAAACAACCGTGCATGCTAAACAACATTGGCATAAAATGCTCAAAACTTTATAAATCACCAACAACAACAAAACCAACAAACCGAAAACACAAAAACGTTATAACCTGCTGCGTTTTTTTTTTTTGTTTTGCCACTATTCCTCCACTCTTCTGATTACATGCACACACTGGCGTATACGTAACTTTCACAACTGGCGCATGCATTTTCACATCCATTCCATTCACCAACACTCTGCTGCAGGTCTTTCATCGGAGGAGAAACTGCATGGCGTCAAGTATATCATCGAATCATTTGTTGGTTGTATTCGTAATGTTGTTTTGAGTTCGGGCAAAGCGGCATCCGATTTGCTACCCATTACACCACTGGTGGCCACCAAACATGAGAACGTCAACGAAGGTTGCGCCGACAAATGCTATTCCAGACACAATTTGTGTTTTGTGGGATCCCGTTGCATTAATCACTACTATGACATTTCATGCGATTGCTTTGGCAGCTACTATGAGGGCGAGCATTGCGATATTTACAGTGAGTAACACTTATATACATACATACATACATACATGCTTCATATTCAGGTCGTAAATAATACATAGTTAACTAGTTATAGACAACTACAAAAAATCCAATTAGAAGCAAAAAAAAAACACAACACCCAAAAACCATGAAAACAAACTATCAACAAAAAGTTTCTGGATTTAAAATGGTTTTGCTTTGTTGGTGCACTGGCTGCAGAAATGTAGAATATGTATACATATGCGAATGCCCTGCAGGAAATCCTTTATTGGTTTTTGCAAAACTTGTGAAAAAATTTAGATTTTAACTTAAAGTACTTTATTAAGGACATGATATCGAACCGATAGTATTAATATGGAACTCGTTTAAAGTATCGCTGTAAAAATATCGGGTACCCATTAATATCGGTATAAAATACTCGATATTCCAAATATCGATAACGAAATCAAAAAAATCAATCTGAAAATTGGTCTCGTTTTCTAATAAAGTAGCAGTTGTTTTGAATTTACGGTTTTTTATGATATTTCGACTTCAGCGCCACCTATCGGACAAATTTTCAAGCGAAATATCTATATATTTTTACTTGGATAATATATGTTCGGAATTTTAATCACATTGGACGGTATATCGGGATAATTTTCAATTTAAATATTTAATTTAATGTGACTAATACACGCTTTGAAGTTGAATGAATCCGTACTGAAAATACGATTTTAGAGATATCTCAACTTCAGCATTACCTACCGGAAATTTTGTTTTCCGTATGCACAAAAGACACCAGCGCAAATATATCCTATGTATGTATTTGAACACAATCAGCTTAGTAGTTTTGGAGTCTATAAACGAAATGCCAACGGCCTTTTCCATAAAAAATTAAGTGACAACTTCACTAAAAATCTAATGTGTATTAAAACTTTCTTAACCACCTTTCTTTTCATATCCATATTCTGTTAATTAATTTTTTACTTGATTTATGTATTAATTGCCGGCTATAGTTCCCAAGAAATATTTTTCATTATTTCTGTCGCTAGAAAAAGTACTTTCCTGTTCCTGTAAATTTTCTTGCAGAAATAAATATGCTAGCATTTATTCTTCAGAAGATTGTTGGGCCCTAATTCCCATTTTAAAATCATATAAAAGTGAAAATAAAAAATTGAAATTGTACGAAATTGTTGTTGCTTGAGATTGAAAATGAAAATGTGTGTGTGAGTTTGTGAGTAAATTTAAAAATTAAATTGTTTGGAAACGTCAAGAATTTTAAAAGTGAGTCTCAGCGGTTCTACCTTACTATATTTTTATCATGATGGGTAGTTTCACTTCAAAATTTTTGACATAAACCGTGTCTGTGACAAACACGCAATGTTGCCAGTGCTACGATATAGAACTTGGCGATTTTAGCTTGTTATTTTAGATATTTTTTAACAGAACATTTAAAGATTTATATGTTTCATAACTGATCACTTAATTTTTAATATAAATATACGTATTTAATACATAAATTTTGCCACCGCTAATCACATGAATAAAAATCATAAAAATGAAAATATAACGGCAATATTTCTTGTTTATAATGGATTAGATCCATCGCACACCACGGACTTTATCGGCCGCCGATTTAGATGGGCTCGCTAGTCTTTCCATTGCACCACAACTTATTTCTCAAAGCGATTAAGCTGGTGTAGTGTGCGCACCTCCATACATCTTCATGTACATATTTAAAGCGAGCCCTGTTATTTAAATAGGCGGCCGATAAAGTCTGTGGTATGCGGTGGCTCTTATAGCTGTATCCTTACATCTATTCCGCGTGTTGCAATATCCACGAAAGCAGCAGTTAATTTTTTATGAAGAAAATTTATTAAAAAATATTCGAAAATTATTATTTATTTTTCCAACGTCAAAAGCTAGATTTTTTTTTTAAGTTGGTACAACAAAAAATACCAAACACGTTTTCTGTCAGATAGCTAACATGGCGCATAAGAAGAAGAAGTCAAACTACCTTCTAAAAATTATTGTATCATGGTAATCTTCAACGTAATGTCAAGTAATTGTTAACAATTCAGCAAAACCGAGAAATAAATTTTAGCTCCATAACAAATTTCTGTTCGAGTCTCGAATTTCCCCGTGTAAAATAAATTAAATAGCAATCAACGAAATCTTTCCTTCGCATAAATTTCACGGCAGCAACGCAGACAATAATCCATCCAACCAAACAAAAGTAAAAGAAGAGATGGCTAAAAAACGGGGCATCTTTCGCGCTTCTTTCGCTGAACAATTTCTCTACAAGCAACATAGAGACGCACTCAATAAAATTTCTAGTGCGGTCGATATGGGTCCACCTCTAATCAGAAAGGATGTCTACCTCAACGTACGTGGCATGCGGCGCGATAAATTCGCGCTAAAACGCATCATCAAGGAGAACATAGAGCTTTTGGAGCGCCTCAATTGCATACGACGTACACACGGACACACCGACAGCTACAACACAAGAAAGCGCATATCACAGACACGGCTACAAAATTTGGTGCGACGCGTCGAAAGTATTCAGATGGAAAATCAATTATTGGGCTGCAGATTGCTGAAAGTAAAACCACTACTGACCACCACATCCTTGCCGAATGCAACGCACAGCAGCATACCCGCGCTGGAGAGATTAAAGCTACGGGAGCAGCTACTTATGGAGCGACTGCTGCACCCAAAAATCTATCTCGATTTAGAAGTAAAAAATATACGTCCGCTAGGTCGCATTTTCATACAACTCTACACGGAGGCCTGCCCCGAAATGGTGTTGGAATTTGCACGCGCGTGCTCGGAAAATCGCTTGCAAGCGATAAACTTTATACGCATTTTTCCAGGCCTCTGGATCGAGGGCGAAATCTCTGTTTACAATCGCACGCTGAGTTCGCCGAATTTCCATTATGACATGGATCTGTTGCGACACGATTCGGGTCGTGGCATTTTCTCATTCGCCAAATGTTACATAGAAAACGGTTTCCCCTATGGGCTATTGAATTTCACAGCCAGTTTCAAGCCATTGCCGGTGCTCAATGGCGAACGCGTCGCTTTCGGCGAATTGGTGTCGGGGCATCGCGTATTGGATTGTCTACCGGATTATGGCACAAAGAATGGCAAGACCAGAAAAGATATTGTTGTTGTGCATAGTGGTTTAAAGACAGACTATGATCTGTGAAAGACGATGGTTATACGTTGTGCTTTGAGTTTTTATCATGGTATTAAGTAAATTAAATAAATTAATAATGATTAAAATGGTTAAGAAGTTATGCAAAATCAGTTTTTATATAAAATAGAAGTGATTTATCTGAAATTGGAAGAACTGAACTGAGCTTCCATCGGAATGGATGGAAATTCGAAGGATCTTTTCAGTGATGCATTGTCCACCATGCGTATGACACATCCAAGCTAACGCAATCGCTTTTTCATTTCATCATTACAATCTCTGCTTTTCAATAGCCTAACGAGCCCTAGTATACTTATTTTTCGCTTGAATTCAGACTGCTATTTGTGTTGTTAATGCGGCACCCTTTGTGTGTTGCCAGGCAATTCTTTGTCTTGCTCTTGTTCAGCGCCAGAGCCACCTCTTTTTCCTCCTACTCTAAGCTGTATAATGCTGTGCTTAAGAACCTAGTTTTAAGACCGACGATATTAATTTCATCTGTATACGCCCACAGCATCATGCACTGCCATTCAGATAGACAGCTCGTATTATTCTTTCGAACATCAGATTGAAAAAGTCCCACGAAAGTGATCTGCTTTGTCTAAATCCTCATTTGATCAGCAATTGTGCGGAGTGCTCCTTTCCGATTTGAACGGAGCTAAAAGTTGTGCCAAGCGCTACTCTATAAAGCCGCCCGGGTTTTGTTGGAATACCAAATTTAGACAATTCGCCATAGATACAGCTTCTCTTCATACTATCAGGCGACTCAAAAGACAACCGAAAGTCGATTTTCTTATCTAAGGATTTTTTCAGGATTTGGCGAACTTTGCAAATATGATCAATCGTGAATTTTCCAGCTCTGAAGCAAACCCTAATAAGGCTTTATCAGTTGGTTTATGAATAGCTTCAATATTCCAAATAGTAATGTCGTTACGTTGTCGACACTGTCGAAAGAAGAAGCACATTGAACTTTAATGGACTTGGGCGAGCCTACGACATTGACTAAATACTGTCCTCTTTCACACAGCCTGTTTTTAGATCATAATGAACCATATTTTTACTATTACCAATCAAAATTCTAAAAAAGTGGGTTTTCGGCCCACGCTATTGTACATAGGAAACGCGATTCCTCGTGACTGTCTTTCAACAGCTCAACATGCTTATTACAAAGAAAGGTCGGTGGATACCGCCCATCAGACATTGGGAAAGTGGTTGAGGGTAGCCTTCACGCATAGAAATTATGCAATCAGGGCCTCACACGACATCTAAGCGGCCTTCAACAATGTCACTCCAGAGTCAATAGTCTAGTATATTCATAATCTGGTGGTTGAAACCAACCTAATAACGGCACTGACTTCGTGAGAACACTGTCGCGGCGGAGTGGGGGAGCGCTTGCACTCAGAGCAGAGTCTATAGGGGCACTCCGCAAGGTGGTGTTCTCTTTCCCCTGCTGTCGATTGCGGTCGTAAGCGACCTTCTAGAGCAACTGGGCTGTCGGGCGATCGCCTATGTAGATGATGTGGAACTTTTGGTTAAGGGACGATTTCTAGACCCCGTTTTTGATCTGACTCAAGGTTACCTGAAATTCCAGCCAGACGGAACTGATCTTGTTTACCAGAAAGTACAAGATACCCGTTGTCTCCCTTCCCTCGAGTGGGGGTGTTCATCTGTGGCTTTCACACAGGGTCAAGTACTTAGACTTGATCGATTAGAGCTGTGGTGGAAGAAAGGCGGATCGCCCCAATCGGAATTAGTGGAGCATTAGGAACCACACCTACTGGCGCTTACCATCATGTTGAACACGGCGCCTGCGTGTCGCAGTACGAGCTGCTAATAGGCTCATAGAAACCGGGTGGTAACACTTTGGAATTCTGGAGGGCTTTGACTTCGCCCTGAATACATGGATTACAGCTCTTCCGAAATGGCTCTGAGAAGCTGCTTCTCTACAACTGGGGACGCCTCTGTCCTTCTGCGGTATACTCTAAAATGGGCAAAAGAAAGCGATGCTCCCTTGTGACATAAAAAGGAAAAGGAGACGTTTTCCTGCTGAAGAAAATTTTTTTAAAGGGCACTTCAATATATTTTTTTGCATCGCAAGACACGAGTGACCCATCGTTGCCCCTTAAAGGTGCCGAAAAACACGTTAACTCTCAAGACCAGGAATTTCAACTGATGCCTTTTGTATCAGCTGTCAAGAGAAAGATGAGGTGGAATCATCTCCACACTTTCTTTCAGACTGTTCAACGTTCGCGAGGCTAAGATGGAAGCCTTTTGGCTTGCACATTTTAACTAACACTGAGCTCTCAGGGATCGAAATTTGCCGTTTTTCTGACTAAATTAAAGGTCTCCGTTCAGTTTTTTGGGGGTATCACAAAGGGCAATCTCTTAATTGTCCAAGCGTGTCCCTGCTTGGGGCAACCACTTTAACCTAATCCAACCTAACCTGTACTTCTTTGAGCTATGAACTAGTTGTTCACATTAGGTATGGCACTAGCTTCCTGCAGGCTCTTACTAAAGGAAATATTTTTTGAAAGAAGTGGGTACGAGGTGTGATCGCACTGAAAGCGGCAATACAAAGAAGCTCACGTGATCTGAATGGAACATAAGGAGATCAAGGCAGTTTATCATTCTCAATAGGTGCGATATGTCATTGGCCATTGGCTTACTGCTAAACGTCTCGGCTTCAGCTAAAATAACTACTGCAGGAGCTGCTACGACGGAGAAGAGCCTCAATCAATCAGGAACTTACTCTTCGATTGCCCTGAACTATGCAAGAAAATACAGAAATTCCTGGGTATAGGCTTTTTATATGATCTTAGTATAACGGCAAAGTTTTGAACACGGAAGTTGCTAAGATATACAGACTCCACAAACTGCACTAACGAGTAGATGTTTTGGATCTATTGTATCACGATGGGCCCCTGACTAAGCCCAGGTGTACGGACTTCCTCTAAGTTCATCAGCCACTTGACCTAACCTAATCTAAGCCATACTAGCTAGTAGCTATGGTCTCAGATTTAAGGAATAGGATATAAGGCCTACGCTCCATAAAAATTTTTAAAAATTAAGACATAAAGAAGCGTTCCATCTTTACACATAATGTGTATTTCTAACCATTTGAATTCCATACATTCGTTTAATTATGCATAGTATGTACATTAGGATGGTCCTTAAATGTAGGAAGCACATTTTTACGTCAGATATCCTAAGCCTCAACCCTACGTCAATGCTACTGTAGTCGAAGATATCACATATAAATTCTGGTCCCGATTGGAGTCGCTTAAGGCGTGACGCACAGGGGTCAAAATTCAGATTACCCTATGAAGACGTCTTAACCGACTCCAATCGGAACCAACATTTTTATGTGATATCTTCTACTACAAAAAAAAAATATTTTTAATTTTTTTAGTCTCTATAGAGGAATCTGAGCACGCCTTAAGCGTTTCCAATCGGGACCAAAATTTGTATGTGATATCTGTGACCGTGGTATTACCGATTGATGGGTGAGACTGAAAAAAAGTGCTCATTTCATTTTTAAGTACCACCCTAATGTACATAAGTAAGTGAAAATCAAACAAAAATAAGTAGTTCTGAGTTAATTAATAATAATTATTTTCTAACGTACATACATAAGTACATAAGTACGTCCATATGTACCTTCAACACATGCAATATTTCATTGCTTATTTCTTCTTCTTTCTTCTTCTTCTCCTTGTTCTCTTTACAGCTGCCACCATAATGACACTACGCGGCTCCAGCTATGTCTCCTATCGCATCTATGACTGGAAGGATCGCGTACATTCCTCCAATACTCGCATTAGTCTCATGTTTCGCACACAATTCGACGATTCAGCACTCTTCTATGCGAGCGGTGAATCACTCAAGCATCAGTACATTGCCGCTTCGATAAAAAATCAATCAATTCATGTGGAAATGGATTTTGGCGATAGCGTTATGTCGACAGTGCTCACCGATGAGTTGACGCGCAGTAATTGGCATAATTTAACCATTCACCATGAACGACGCACCGTGCGCATCATACTTGATCAGCAAATGAAAATATTGGAAATACCTGCTACGTCGAGCGGCAATTTGCTATTCGATCCGGAAATTTATTTCGGTGGCGGTCCGGATTTGCACAAAAAGAAGGGCTTACATTCGCAGAATAATTTTGTTGGCAGTCTTAAATATGTCTACTATAATGATGTGTCGATTTTATATGAATTGCATAAAAGTAATCCGAAGGTACACTATCACGGTAAGTAAAGTATGTACGAGTGAGTTGTTTGAGATAGTGCACATGTGAGCGAAAACTTCATATGGACATACATAAATACATATGTATGTATGTATATGTACATATTTGCTTAAAATGATCCGATAAGTACACTCGCGTGTGAAATAAATGCTGCTATTAATGTAAATAAGAAGAATACTTTATTTACGACTGAATCTTTCTAAGCTCCTAAAACCTCGCTTCTTAGAAAAATTCAAATCTAAAATCCAAAGTACCTTTCCGTGCATCCGAGCCCAAGTAGAGCTTTCGATATATTTCCGGAACCTCTCTGGAATTCGCTGACATATTGTCGATTTTCATTTTGTTAAATTTCGATTTGTTCAAAAATTTTCGGAATTTTTTCAAAATTTTGTATGTATCCTACATACCTTTTGATGACATTTCTCATTTTCCTCGAGATTTCCTTTGGTATTTTTCGGAGTCTTAGATACTTCTGCGCGATCCAGTTATTTCGAGATTTTTTTTTAATTACGATATTACATAGAAACTTCATAGAAGTATTCTAAATTTAATCCTGACTTATCTGAGATTTTTCATAATTTTTCGTTATTACTACTGCGATGAGTTTTCTTTCAGGAATTATCGAAGTTTTTTTTACGATTTTTTTTTTTAAATGTTTGGCGATTCCCCTAGACTTCTTAGAAAAATTTCAGGTTTATTTAGATTTTGTTTGCTTTGCTTGTTTTTCGAAATTTTAAAGCAACTATTTTGGATCTTTCGCAATTTAGTCATAATGTTTTTTTTTTTAGAAATTTTCGAGGTGTTTCGATATTTTTTATGACTTCGCAATTTTTCTAATTTTTTTGCAGCTTTTTGGGGGATTTTGTAGGTACGTTTTCGTGAGCTTTACTTTATTTTAACTTAGTTTCTTTTTTTGGAATGTAGTCATGAATTTTTGAAAAATTTTTGTAATCTTTTTCGGTATTTTTTGTGATGCACGCTTTCCCGTTTCTTATTTCGTACACTCTTCATTTTTTTTTGTACATATTACTGAAAATTTTTGGGTAATTTTTTTTTGTTTTCTCCATACCTTTTGGCAAATTTTCGGATGGTTTTTATTTTGTTTTCTTGGCTTTTCGAAGTTTGCGGAAGTTCATAGGGACCTTTCGGAGTGTAGTCATGAATTCCGCAGTTTTCCGCCCGATTTAATTTTCGGGACCTCGTTGGGCTTTTTACGGGAACTATTGTTGTTTGTTTTGTTTTGAGAGTTATTTATTAATTTTTTGTGACCTTTAACAAATTAATATACTCCAAATTTCATCGGATATTTTCTAAAGCTTATTTCTCTAATAGTTCGGTAGTGTTTAGTAGTTGATCCTTTGAAAACATTAATTTCGTGATTTTAAGAGAATTTCGTAGGATCCCTTTGTTACCTTAGGAACGTAGTCATCGACACTTAATTTGGAGATTCTTCTGGGATTTCCAGAATTGTTTTTGGTTTTTTTTTTTTTTGAAAGTTGGGAAGTTTTTTAATTTTATTTGGGTGTTTTTTCGAGTATTTCGGAATTTTATAGGAACACCTTGAATCCTTCTAGAGTTTATTTGTGACCTTTTCGAGATTATTTGGAATTTTTGCAGGGTTGGTTTGGAGATGCTTTGAGCTTTTTGTGAGCTTTCACAATTTTTCCCCCAAATTTTTTTCAGAAAATTTTGTTAGTTTTTCTCTTGAAACTTTTTTGTGATTTCCTCGGCAGTTTTTGGGGAACTTTCTGGTTTATTTTATTCTTCGCTTAGTTTTAAAATTTTCCTAAAATTCAAAGAAATTTTTGGAACCCTGTGAAATTTAGATATGACTTTTTAAAGATTTTTGGGGAAGTGGGGGAAATTTATAGGAATTCTTTTGTCAGTGTTGTAAGTTTTTCGGCTGTTGTTGCAAAATTTCTCGGGATTCCTTTGATAAATTTTCGGCATTTTTTTACGAATAGTTTGAGATTTTTTCAAGATTTCCTTTGGGATTTTTTGGTAGATTTTTTGGAGGCCTTCGGAAATTAGTCATGACTTTAACGAGGTTTTCCCAGTTTTCGGATGTTGCTAATTTTTGATTATTTTTTTTCGGAATTTCTTTCTTTCTTTAATTTTCAGAATTTTCTTTACGAATTTTCTAGGCTTTAACGGAGCTTTTAGGATTTGCTGGCCATTTTTTGGGAACTTTCAGTTTAAGTTTGCTTGTTTTTTTTTTGATCTGAGCCTACCAATCACCTAGAGAAATTGCTGCAGAGTTTGTGAGATAAAAGTTATTTAGCGACATTTGCAAATTCACACCAATATCAGATAAACGTAACAAAAGCAGACTGCCGTTATTTATTGCATATGAAATATACGAAATGTGTTACATATTGCATTTAATAATCGCTAACGGAACTTGCTGATCAATCATACAATTTTCTTATTTCGCCCGCTGTTTCCTGTACTGGCACATAAATCAAACTTTAATTGCATATATTGCCGCTATACACATACACATATATATGTAGTATATATACATTCGGGTGCATCACCCTCCAGACAAAAAAAAGGGTACTGTTTTTCCATCGAAATTATAAAATTTACTATTTAAGACTCTCCAAAAGATTTCTGAATAATGTTAAGTTTTATGTGAACTAGACCCGTTTGAAAAAAGACCTAAGAAAATTTATTTTTTTTTTTTTTTATAAATAAAATTATGCAGTTTTTAAAAACATTTTTTCCAAAAAATCAGCCCAAATAATGAAAGCGGTTCCAAAATTTTATCAACGAAATCAAAATAATGCGATTTTTGGTGAAATTTTTAAATCGGTCCACCACACGAAATCTTTAATATTTTCCGAATTTTTCTGGCGGATGTCCTAAATTATAAAAAAATTTATAATTCCGGCGGAAAACCCGCCACTTTTTTCTGGTGTGACATCCTAATGTACATATATACAATGTTATTTTAAAAATTATGTGCTTATCAGTCCAATCTACACTTTTTGAAATACATTAGCACATGCGCGTTCGCAACATTTGTGAATGTCTCAATGATTATTGCTATTTCTTCTAACTATCTATCTATCTATCTATTTATATGTATGCAGGTGTCCTCGAAGCCGAATTTCAAGAGAACGAAGTCAACGTCATACCCATAACGTACCCTTTTGCGACATCTCACATTTGGTGGCCCATAAATCACGCCGAAGAATTTAATATTAAATTCGATTTCCGGAGTAGTCGTACAGCAGCAGTGTTGGCATACAGTGATGTGACAACAGCATCCGGAAATGGATATTGGGAGGTAAGTGTCGATGCAGGAGCTACATACATACTACATATATCTATATTCGCAAAAGTTAAGCAATTCAACAAAATATGATTTGTAAGGTCGTTTTGAGCGTATGCGCGCGTGTGGTAAGCAAGTGTGTAAGTGTGTATGTATTAGCGTCCATCTATGCCAAATGCACACGAGTGTGTTATGCAGCAACAACATCTACATACTAACCCTAGTTAAAACCAATTTCTTAACTGTTGTATATATGTATGCGCTCACATGTTCCATGCGTCCATATACATAAGTATGTATGAGTGCATATTCATGACCCTGGCTGGCTTCATAAGGCTGTGCGCCTGTAAGTATGTGACAATTCCTGTGCCCAACAACTTACACTTTGCTGCTGTTGTTGCTGTTTTCGTTGCTGCCCTAGCGTAATAATGCTGCTGTCAACTGCATGCAAGATGCCTGCAAACTTCATTGCTGTCGATGTTGAAGAGAAATTGTCGAGGCGTTTTGCAATTTGCAAGCGCCATCCCGTTGAAATATTGCAAAAATTCTATTCATTGCATGCATACTTCATCGGCTGCTGTAATCGAAAAATTACTTGAAAGGAAACGTTAGAGATGTGTGTATATATATGTGTGTGTGTCTGTGTGTTAGAGGCATACTGAGATTTAGCCTTTTTGCTCTTTTTTAAATTAAATAGTTCAAATCAAATTGCAAGCAATAAGGCGAAGGGCACATTTGACAGCTTATTTAAGCCGCGTCATGATGTGGCATTAGTGCTTTGTGCATGCCGAGGGGTGTGTGTGTGTGAAAAATGGCTAATGGAAATGTTTCTAGTGTGGCTGCTCTTCATTTGATTGCAAAGAGCGCAATTTTAATATTGCAAATGTGCGGAACATATGAAAATATTAATGCAATGTGAATCTTTATGAACATATAAGAGTTTGGTAGAAATTCACATTTCATATTATTGAAATTTGCAGTGCAACTAAATACTAATAAACCACATTTTATGTTGGATTAAGTCAGGGTGGAGACACATATTTCATAGTTCAACTCAAACGCTAAATAATCGCCTAGGCAACGACCGAAATATGTGTAAGATTCGACCAGGTAGAGTTACTTAAATTTTTATTAAAAAAAAAAAAAAAAAATTTTAAGAGAAATCGTAATGGTATTGCCACCTTTTCTAAAATGTTGCAAAAACTGTTATTAAAATCATTCAAGCTTATTTAATATCACATTACGTTTATTAAACGGAAAACTAGTGTTACATTTTTTCGTTACCCGTGCATTTTCGAATAGCTTGGGTATAAAAAATAAAACTTGTAAAAAACTCTGGACATCTATAGTTGGAAAAAGTCACGCGATTTTGACATAAATTCCAAAAATTTACCAAAAAATTATACATAGTAGGTGTAGCTTTAAAGATCAATATCTCTTAAATAAAGGTTTAGGGGAAAAAATTAAATAAAGAATTTTATGTTAAAGGAAACCGGGAATATTTCTTTCATATAAGCTTTTTATATACAAGTGCCTATTTTTCGAATATTTAGTGGTCAAAGTAAAATTTTTCAAAATTGATTTATTCTAATGGCCAAAATAAATACTTCAAAAATGATATAATATATCCATTTAGGAAATTATATCTCGCGAATGACTGCATTGTGTCAAAGCAGCTGATTTCAGCCACCCAGCGGTCAATGTATCAATGGTTTTTAGTCGTAGGTGTCTGTTCAGCTCAGTTTTCGTCATTGGTGCTTAATTCTTCAACCTAATAAGCAGCATCAAGCCTTTTCTTGTAGGAACCAAACAGTTAATGGATCAAAAAAAACTAGCTTCTCCGGTATAATATTTGTGATTTTTTCTTAACGAAAAATCATCTACCAAATTCCATGTACATATAGAAGGCCAAGAGTTAGTCTTCTATGATTTTCTTAATGCATATCTACTAATAAATACATATGTATGTATGTTGTACTTTTAAGCTCTCGCAGATATTTAGTTAACCTTTTAAAGTACTCTCCTACAGCCATGCAGAAGCACTACATAATACATACACACACATGTACATACGGTACGAACTTAGTTACTTATGCGAGAACAACATTGTTGCTGTTGTTGACTCGTGTTGCATTGGCGTGCATGAATGTATGCATGTTCCAGTTTTCCCCATTCCCCCATTGGGGCAACTATCAATTGACACGCTCTTTTTCTATCACATGTCCGCCATGATTCTTCGCTAACTTTGGGATTTCGATGAAAATGCCAGCAAAATGCTTACATACATACACACGTAAATACGTATTTCCAATATATACAAATGTACATACATACATGTGTATTTTGCGTTTTGCATTTTGCATTTGGGTATTTTGTACAAATGGTTATATTTGGCTATTGAATGCAAAGTATTGGCGCTAAATATTTACAAAATATTTGAATTCAATGATTTTTATTTATTTGCAATATATTGTCGGTTTTTAGCTTTATACAACTTTTTAAACGTACACTCATATATGTACATACATATATACACACATACAATATGTACATGTGTGCATGCAACCACCCATTGAGTGTACAAATACAAATAATTTTTCATTCGTTGGCTTAAAAATATTTTTGGTATGAAATCTAAAACACATATTTACACGTAAATATTTGTATTTCAATTTTTGCACATGCCACACACGATTTGCGGCAGAAATGTGGAGTAAAATTTTGATTTTAAATGGTCATTCATTTTGATGAGCATTTATTGTTTTTATCAATCTAGAAAATTAAATTATAAAGAAATTTATTGTTAAGTTTTTAGTAAATATATGTACATACATACATATTTTATTTATTTTGTAATGGCAAGAAATCAAATCTGATTTCGGGAAAGTATATATACATATATGTGTGTTTTGTGTCCCCCCTTCGTTCCAGGGATGTGGATAAACTATTAGCGAAAGCCATGCCCTCTAGATAAAGTTGGCTGAGCCTTATAGAGGATTTCGGTAGTTTGTACTCTATTTAGGAAGTGTATGTAGTGGTTAGAAGTGTGCACTACCAGTCCGCAGGGCGTGGCATCGAGCCCAGTTTTCGACTAACATTAAAATCAAAAGAAAATAAAAAGTTTTTATTTCTAATAGCGAGTACTGAGTGTTTCCGATAACTCCTTGAACTCAGAAAACCTCGGTGAAAAGCCTTCGATTACAGAATATATTACCAAAGAAAACTCTTCTCCTCTTGCTCCGTCGGGGTTTTCATGTAAGTCCAAATTGGAATTTAAACTTTTTAAGTTTGGGAAACATTTGTAATTTTTTTAAACCATTAGCCAGTTCGAAAGATGCTGCATACTGTCGTATTGTTGTATGTGGTAAACTTTAAACGTCTAACACTATATCTAAGGGATTCGCAAGCTACCACAAAAGTCGTAAAATGAAATTCCAAACCGTTAAAAAATAGTTGATTGTGGTTTCAAGTCTTCTAAACATTTATTTAGCCGTTAAAAACTTTACAACATACGACAATACGAAACTTACAAGGTGTCGTGAACCACCTAAATATCTTTACCAAAAACTTTGAAAATCGTAACTGGGATCTATCGTAATAATAACAGTTTTATTAATGCCTTGAAACTTTACGGTCAAATTCAATAATTGTTGGTTGACCGAGCTTTGTCCGGAGTGCATATACTTTTTAAAGTTTTCAAGATTTGGATAGCTTTAAAAAAATATTTTGGAAATAAAAAAATCGGATTTCGATATCTATTAAGTAAATGAACATTTTGTCTTCCCAGTTATTCATGGTCCCCTTTATGTGAGCTTTGGTAAGCCCACAAAAGGATTCCGGACTACAAAATACTGCGGCAGCTGGCTGTTTCGCTAGGCGGTCAGCCTCTGCATTGGACGCCTCTATGCCAAGCAGCAGATGGTTAACTGGTATAACCCCTGCTAACTGTTTTCTGACAGTCTTAGTCTATTCAGAAAGTCATTATGGCTAAAAAAAATCTTCCTCATTTACGAGTAAACAAAAATATACATACATACATACATATTTATTGGAAGTTGTCATTCGAGTTTTTTTCTTAATTTTGCATTTAACGGATTTCACTGAAATTGCATAAATGTACAATGCCAATGCGTGTAGTTTACGATATTTACATCCCTTAAAATGCTAAAAATTTGAAATTTGCCGTGCAAAATAAACGTAAATTTGGTACCGACACAATTTCAACCAAAATTTTCATATTTTTCCTGACAACGAATTTGCAATTATCGCACCAATTTATCGTGTATTTCCCGAAAATTCAACTGTAAACGTTTACATGTTGATTTACATATAAAAAAAATTGTATGTGTGCCTGTGTGTTTCTGTACAATTTGGCTTGCAAACGACCCAAATAGTCAATATCGAAAATAATTGCATTCAAATGCTAAAATATCAAACTTTTGGCATATCAACGTTTAGACATACAGAAATTTTGACAGAGGCCCACCCATCAGTGCGTTTGCCAGGCGCACAAGTGAGTTTCGCATAATAAAAAAGTTATGAACAATTTTTTTCAACCCACCATTTTAAAAAAAGATTTTCGCATTTTTACAGCTGCATTTATTAACAAAACATTTACAATATAAAATATAAACTACAATCAAATATAACTGAAGAATTTTTAAAAATTTAGTTGATTCCAATTTCAAGTCATGTATTCTTGTTCCCATATTCCAATGTAAAAAACGTATAGTCCCTTTCCCGCGCATTATCGTTCAGTTTTCGTCGCTTAGCGCAGGGTGTGCCTTGATCCTCCTTCTGCAGCTGCTGCTGCTGCTGCTGCAACTGTTGACGCTTCTCAGCTACTCTCCTTTTCGCATTTACTACAAATTCTCTCCGCTCCGTTAGACTTAACTGCTTAAATGCAAGCATACGTAACATTTTCAATTTCAAACGATTGCTAAACAATTGCTCTCGAGTCAAGGTGCCCAAATCTGCATTACTCTTCAGATAGATCTGCTCTTTTGTCTGAGTGATCAATGTGTCGGTGATGAATAACTTTGATTTGGTGAGACGAAAACATCGAGCGAAACGTTCTCGACGGCTTCTCAACTCGTTGCGATATACGAAGAGCATATAATTTAACGATGGCGGATTTCTTAACTCTAAATCTTCTTGTGCGGCAACTCGTCGCGCTTGGATTTTGGACATATTTTTTAGAAATAAATAATAAAAAAAAAACACTACTAAACCTTTGATCTGTTTGACAGTGGTGTTTTGAGTGGAATGATGTTGTTTCACTCAAATTTTTAAGCTTTTATAGCAGAAGAAAAGGGGCCACTCAACCTAGCTGTGAATGCGGCTTTATGAGTTATTTATACCTGTACTTAGGTGAGATTCCACGTAAACATATGTACATACATATGTGCATAACAGCTTTGAACAGAGCGTTAAGAGAGTAGGTAACTTGTCAGCTAATCACTTTGGAAAACCACCTCTCTGCCGCCTTTGTTAAAATATGTGGTATTCATAATGCGTGAGAAACTCCCTACTCGGCACGTATTCACACTCTTCTCTAGTTATTGTCCTCTACCGAAATGTCAATTGTTTTTTAAGCAACACACATACGTATGTGCAGATACAATATTGTTTGTACAACAGGCTATTCTACCTAAATAGGTACTTATGTATATGCATATTTATATGTGCCTTTGTGGTAAATACGTAAACACTGTTGTCAGTTGTGTACTTCTTTGGATCGCGTAACTGTAAACGTATAAATATTATAGACTACATAAAAGACAGAATTTAACATTTTGAATAACTTTCTTTAGAACAAGTAATTGTTAGTAAATTTGACTCTGATTTGAAGGAAAATCTAAAGCCTTCTGGAGCTTCATCCATTCTAAATCGAGCTCTTCTAATATACCATCCTGTATGTACTATAATGGTAAGAGTTCTGAGTCGCTTAGTGATACTGTAAAATTTTTCACTGAGTTTTTTGGTATATTCTCTCTTAAAAAGTCTTTTAAATGTGATTCCGATTTTCATCGATCGCTGGAAAGTAGCGTCCATCATGCCCATCTTCATGTGAGGACGTAGGAATAATGTTTCTAAGTACAGATCTATTTCTAAGTTACCTGCTTGCCCCAAGCTCTTTGAGAGGGCGGTAATGCGGAAACACTCTTTTGCCGCCAAAAGTACCGTAAATCCTCGACAACATGGTTTTTAGGATGGTCGTTCTACAATAATGAACCTCGCTGTTTTTCGGAATTCTGTGTGTCTGCGTTCAGAAATGACTCCATCTATACAGATTTTTCCAAGGCGTTTGAAAAGGTATCACATTCAATTTGGTTTGCATTCGGTTTTCTTAAATGGGTTAAAGCTATATCTACCTAGTAGAACCCTGTTTGTTTGAAATTGAAAACTGCTGGTCTTCTCCTTCTGTCTGTACATCGGGGGTGCCCCAAGGTATTGTCGGGTCCTGTTCCTATAATTCTGATTACTTGTATGCCGATGATTTGAAACTGTTTCGTAAAATCAATTGTGACAGCGGATCGCGGTTACTTCAAGAAGATCTGTTTAATATCGAAGTATGGTGTCAAACAAATTTTCTGTCTGTCAATACAAAAAAAAAATGCTTCCAGCCCGCTTCTGTTAATGATTTTGTTGATCTTGGTGTCGTTTTTGAATCTAGATTCACCTTGATTAATCACATATGCTATATTCTTCCGAAGGCCTAGCTTTTCTGCGAAGGTATGCGAAGGATTTTAAGGATCCCTATACTAGGAAAACTATATTTAACTCTTGGTTGTTCAAAGCTTGAATATGCCTCGAGTATCTGGAGTCCTATCTATAGTTTCCACACATGGGCCAAGAATAATAGCGCTGTCATATCAGATGTAGTTTTAATCTCTTCCCCCGTTATGAGCTTTGCCAATAGTCTCTGCAAGAATTTCAAGACTGGTCCATTGCGTCAACCTGTGGTCGTATGTCATGTAAGCCAAAAGTCTTTATAAATAAACTCAAGAAAACGGAAGTGTGTTTTCTAGGTGAGCAAATAATTCTCGCTTATTGGCTTAATGAGCCGTAAAATATCTCAAATATCGGCCCAATGGCGCCATTGATATATGTATCATCTCGGTTTCCTTCAACCAAACGCAAAAGTGGTGAAACTAAAGGCAACAACGAAACTTCATCATTTGAAAAAGCTTCAAATGGAGTTATTACAGACAAAGACAGTGACTCAAAAAACCGCTTGGTGATTTGTTTAATATTCACAATGTTTTTTAAGTAAAAATTTGTTGGTATTTAAAATTTTTTTTTTATAAGAATATTGTTTGCACTTTAACCAAACTCATATAGAATCAAGGATTCGAGCTATATTAAACACTCAGAAAAATTAAAAAAAATTTCGCCTAGATTTCGAATTTTTTTCTCTGAATTTTTAGAATTTAATTTAAGGTATGGAGTTATATAGCCGATGGAATCTTAGTATAACCAACAATGTACAACAAAAAATTCTCGTTGATTTTTTTAATTAACAATTTCCATTGATAAAAAAATGGGATTGATTTTTGATTTTTTTGCCAACAATCATAATGTGTAATTACATACCAGCTCATTTTTTACTTTTACTTAAAGAATCATTAAAAAATATTTAGGCATTCAAAAAAAAAGAGTTTTAAGTGGAGCACGAAACGTTCACTTTTTATCGATATACATTTCTATGTGCATTTGTATATAAAAAGTGTGCATTAAATCGTTCAAAAATTAACGCAAAAAAGTAGACATATTTTCTGGAAAGAAATTTGTAATATAAAGATAACTACTACAAAAAATAAAGCGGGCTCTAAAAGTCTTAATTGTTTTTCAAACAAAATACTTCAATAAAAGAAACCAAAATGAAAAAAAAAATTACCTTTTTACCACCCCAAATTTTTTCCACCAATTTTGGTAACAATTTACCAAAGTGGCAACCCTGATCGTAACCCTAGTACAAAGTCAAAGTTTTCAAAATTTGTCGAGTGTGCTTAAAGCTGCGTTGCAAGAGAATCCAGATCTACAGCCATAGGGCTGTAGAACTAATTATTGCAGCTTCCTCAGTAAAGTAATACCTTTGAAACATTTCACAATACCGATAAGCCCCTTTAGAAGAAATACCTCATTTATTTACTCGTATTTTGCAATATACATATCGCGCCCTTAATCAAAAGTAGTCACGACTCAAAAATCAAAAATTTTAATATTTTGAGTTATGTGACTCTTTTTTATTTAGTATGGAATATGTGTAATCCGAAAATGGACTGAAAAAAGTTTCAACTTATTAAAATAATCAATTTTTCGCAATTTCACTGAGTGGGAGTGTTTGAACTGATTTCATTTTGCAAACTACTTTCACCAAAGCATTTAAATTAAAACCAACAACTAATCCAAATATCCAAAATTTATAATGAAAAGTGGACCGCAAGCAAATATTTACCATAGTTTAAATAAGTATATGTGTGTGTAGGTATGTATGTGCGTTATACATATTAATGTCTGCTTTACAATATAAATAAGAGCTATCTTGTTTTAGAGTAAAAAACTAATATAATTTTCCACTTCTATTTCATGTTGTCCATCTTGCCCAAACCACCACCTACTACATACAACGCGCCAACGCACAACTAAACTTTCAACATCCGTTCACGCGGAAATGCTACCAAACGATGATAATGGCAACGGAAACGCCAAACTAAATATCCGCCAACAACCGACCACCCCCGTCACGCCCTCAACTACTGTTGCGGAAATTGAAATACACAAAATTGAAAAACACAATACCGCAAACCATCGCCACCACCACCATCACCGCCACCACCATCACGGCCACCAACTGTGTTCGAATCGCTCGTTGTGGTACAACACGCAATGCACCGTCACCGCAACGCTGCAACACTGACGCCTGCTTTACAAAAATTTACTATGTTTGCGCTGACACAGATACGCCTCGCTTCGGACAAGCTGAGTTTTGATCTAGTACCCGATTTGGGCAGCAATCTCACACATTCAACGGCCATCAAAATCAATAGAGCCACCTCCTGGCATTCCGTCGAACTGGACTACAAAGCGGGCGAAATCACATTCACCGTTGACTATCATCTGACGCAGAGTCAAATGTTCGGTTTGACTTTCAATATCGGCGATAAATTGATTATTGGCAGCAGTCTCAAGTCGGCCGCTTCTGGTCTTGTCGGCTGTATACGCGACATCGAGATCAACGGGCATTTGATTGAGCCACGGCATGTCGTGAAAACGGAACGTGTGGTGGGCGAGGTTGCGCTGGATAACTGTAATTATATAGATCCCTGCAAGCGGCCGAACACCTGCGAGCATGGCGGTAAGTGCTTCGTGAAAGACGATCGTGTCACATGCGATTGCAAACAGACTGGATATATTGGCAAGAATTGTCACTTCACCAAGTATCGCAAGACTTGCGAAGAGCTGGCGCTACTGGGCTACACCAAATCGGATGTGTACCTCATCGATATTGATGGCAATGGCGTATTTCCGCCAGCGCATGTTAAGTGTGATTTTCAGAGTTTGGAGAATGCTACCAAAACGATTGTGGAACATAATTTACCCAGTCAAGTGGATGTGCGTTCTGCGCGGGACAATGACTTCAGCTTCAATATACGTTACCGTGAATTTTCACCAGACATGCTGCAGGAGCTGATCTCACATTCTTTGTACTGTACGCAATATATCAAATATGATTGCTACAAGGCGCCGCTGGAGCTGCACTCGGCCACTTGGTTCACTTCGTCGGCAAAGAATTTAACCGTCGATTTTCTGGGCAACGCAAAACGGTGAGTGGCTTATTAGTATTATGTTTTGTTTAATGATCTCAAAAATTTTTCTGACTTGTCCCGGTTTTAAGCAGGTCGTAGGGTGAACCAGATCTGTCCAGTAATAGCATGTGATCCTGTAAATCTCCACATCTGTTTAACTTTCGAGTCTTAAATTTCGGTACTTCTGCTTTTGATTGCCCGCGTGCACCCACTATCTATACGCTGGAACTAGATTTAGGGTACAGTCCTCCACAAGTTTCCGCAGACATCCGTGGCAGCAAAGTACTGGGTGCTTTGTGCTTTGAGAATTTTGTGTGGTCCTTTTGGATCGCCCGTGCCTTCGGTAGGGTATGGTCGATGGACAGCGCGTTTTTATCAGATGACAGTTTATTTATGAGGAGATTATGTCCGAATGAATTTTTTTCTCCACTATCCCACAGTCCGCAATCCACTGCGCTGGCCGTAGCTAAGTTTCGGAAAATAAAATATCTATGGGTAGTAAATGGAGCAGAACATTCAGAGCCACCATTGAACAAAATTTTTTTGCATCCGTTGGCCAACATATTGCAACAGCTGCTGTCCTCTGAATTCCGATTAGTTTTTTAAGTGCGTAATCCTTTTATAGGACCAGAACACCCGACCATATGACCATATGAGTTGGACTGCAACCGTGTGTATCCAGTTTACGATACTTTTCTTAAATTCTATCTGTTTTCGAATCTGTAATTTTTTCCCATAGAATAATATTTTCCATCTTCGCGAAGCCCGTTTTCATTAAGGCGACTAGCCGATGTGTGGTGCGCTGCTCTTGGTTGATGTCTTAATACGGGTATGAGGCCCTTAGTCTTACTGGAGGTCATCAAGCAGGCCCATATTTTGGGATTTTTTAGTATATAAATATGTAAGCACTACGCACGACCTGAAAACAATTTCAGGAACTGCTTTGAATGCTCTATTGGTATTGCTGCTTTCAGATGTAAAGATTCAAGAAGGAAACGGAAGAGAGATGTATCGCTTTCATAGCCTACGGTACGATGATCAAACTTCAAGACTTAGGGATGCACTTGGTCAAGTAATAGAGTCATATCCATTTTTTCTGGCCTCAAATTCTTTAAATGGGACAGAAGACTTCTGCGGTAGACAAGGCGGCAATAGTCTGCTGTTTAGAGAACAAAGGCGACGGCTAGAGACTCTTGAAGAAGTTTTGAGTAACGAGAATCTAAGACCGCCAGACTCCCTCCAGGATTGTAAACTAAAGCTTAATACCACCGCACTATGAGAAACTTGACCTTTTTTTTCAAAAAAATTAATTATTTTTTATTGATTGGCAAGTTTGGGAAACATAATTGCCAAACAAAATCTTCGCCTTTGTGGTTTTATTAAAAGTTTGAATGCAGTTTTTTTTAACATGTGTATTAAAGAAGAGAACATTTTACCTAGTTAAAAAAGCTATTTATACAATAGTTGTTTTTTCAAAAGTTTGCAAATTATATTAAAAACCTGAAAGGTGCGAATTTCCTGACTTCTCTGCATATAAGTTAAAAGGAGCAGCATTTACAGCAACATAATTGTTAACATTTAAAATAATAATATAAAAAAATACCAGTTATAGTACATAAAAATAATTGTTTTTTTTTTTCAAAAGACCCATTCCAATATTTCACTCACACGCAACAATTTTGGCTATCTGCTAATCCAGCGGTTCCCAAACTTTTTTTCTCATAGAACCCTTGCTGCTACATTACTACCATATCCCAAATACTCGCCTAAAAACTTGAGGACTCGGAGTGGTAAAAATAAAAAGAAAAATAGTAAAGGGCATTACAGTAGTTTTGTCATTGTTTCCAGTACACCATTTTGCAAACTACTTGTCAAAATACGGAATCTCAATCAGCCCAATTCTGAATACTCCCGGGAAGTTTGTTCTGCGGGAATTCGTTTCTCCCAAGCAAGACATCCTGCAATAATTAACTCCCAGGGAGTAGCATTTTCCCCGAAAATTTGGGAGGAGGAAATTCGATCTTCGAAAGAGCTGTTTGACACTCTTTGACAGCTCAACTCCGCCATTTAAAATAAAAAATCCCCAGGGAATTTTTATTCATGATAGGAGAACAGGGAAAAGAAAGAAAACTCCCAGGGATTTTCTGTTCAGAATCGGCCGGAATTTGTTCTACGAGTATTTTAAATGCAATCGTACAAAGCAATCCAAACAAATGTCGCTAAAATTCAGTAACACACACATTTCACCTCAACTGCAAATTTCTATTAAGTTCCTTCGCTGGGTCTGCTATAATGTAAATCAACTCTAAACTTAAATATCTCATTTTGGATACATATAACTTAAATTATCGCAAGCATATGAAAATAAATGGCCAGCAGTTAACCCACATTTCAATTTACATACTACGTTCGTAGTCGTACGAGCAGTCGTAACAGTATTGACAAATGCTAAACTTTGCTGCCACAACATTTCAAATCCAACATAAATCGTAATTTAATGTTGACTTGACATTCGTAGGAAAACAAACATCTACTAAGGCTGGCAGACAGGCAGACAGACAGACAAACAGACAGCCAGCTACACAGACTATATATGTAGACAAAACAGACCTTAAGCACTAACACTTGATTATTAATATAAACTGACTGCGCTCCAATTTGCGTTTTGTGTCACTCAAACTGAAATGCCCGGGAAGGAAATTGCAAGGCACTGAGCAACAATTTCACTTGGCTTTGCTTGCATACGATACTCGAGTGCATTCGTTTATAGTATGTACATTACATTTGTTTTAAGTTTCTACATATGTATGTATGTGTGTATGTGTGATGTGCGTAACAGTAACTAAACTCTCACCAGCAAGCAGAATGAATGCCACAAGTAGTGCCAACACTTTGACATTCACGTAACTAAGAGTGCTACTTGTTTGTCTCTATTGGTCATCTCATGCCGCACTGTATGAATACAAGAACGAGTAATTTCTGTCAGCAATGTTACCAACTACAAATGATTTGTGTACTCTCACTCGACAAGCAGTACACAGCATCAGCACTGGTAATAAACATACAGCTCATATTGCATAATGGCAAGTATTGTTATAACAATAACAACAACGAGTTACGTAGAGAATAGGTATGTGCATATGTATGCATGATTTTAGTAAAGGAGTAATACCCTGCAAAAATCGCGACTACTCCATGCATGCGTGTAAAGAGTACTCCCTAAGGACCAAAGAGTACTCCAAAATTAACCACAATTCATATAAAAAATATGGTTCAATTAACATTGCGATGTCCTAGGGCAGGACCATATACTCCATCCCTGCATTACATCAGAGTAGCACAAAACTACTCCAACATATTAACAATGGGCATTGTTGTTATATTTTTTCGTTTGTACACGCTTTTGTTCTTCACTTCTCAAATGCCTATTTCGAAATTAATAACAACCAAGACAAAAATTAAAAATTACATGTTGCCTCTGACGGTATTCGAACCCGAACATGCTGGGAGCTAAGAACTAACAGCGAGCATCTCTACACGTTCAGCTACAGCCAGACATGCAAATGTGCTTTCAAATGCTCAACTTCAATCACGTTTCGTTAAAACACGAGCAGTGATCGGATAACAAACAATAAGCTGGCGCAGAGACACGAGTTGGTCCGCTACAGCATGACAGAGGAACACTTTTGTAAGTACTCCAATTTACCACAAATAGACTACGTGGTCCAACGATTTTTGCAGGGTAGCAGTAATAACAAAATGACACTTGACAGACATTGTAAAATTGCATAAGGAAATTACTAGATTAGCAATGAAAATTCGTAATGTGGATGTTATTTTATTAAATATGTATAAACACAAATGCTTAGAGACCTTTAAAACATTGCTTCATACAGCTAGGTGTACCTATAGCATGAAACTTTTTGAAGTGAAACTTCTTAATCGTGTTCGGAGATGGTTGCGTTAAATATTTAACACCAAGTCATAAAATCTGTATCGTTCGTTCGATTTTTAAAAATGAGGTGTCACATGAAAGGCCTTGTCCTTCTGGTTTACAACATAGCTTTAGTTCCATGAAAGGAGTTGCCACATGTTAGAAAATCGAATTCAAAATTTCTCTGCCGCAGAGGGTTGCGTAAAATATTTAACATCAAGTCATAAAATCTGTATCGTTCGTTCGATTTTCAAAAACGAGGTGTCACATGAAAGGGCTTGACCTGCAGATGTGCAGTATGGTTTTAGTCTTTTAAAGGGTTGCCATATATACGAAAATCAAATTCAAATTATTTATTAAGTTAAACGAATTATCCCGATATGGGTATCAAAAGAAATGGTTTTGAATAAGTTGTATTTTCTAGCTAAATGTAGGAGGGTTGCCACCTGTTTCAAAAGTAAAATTTAGTTAAATTATACAAAAGTCTTACGCTTAAAATACTATACAGTACAGAAAGAGCTTACAGAAACACAATTAAAATATTTTTGAGGTGCCTGAAGAGGGTGGCCACC